TTAAACTTGACCTGACAAAATGTTTGCCGGCTAAACTTGACCTGACAAAATGTTTGCCGGTTAAACTTGACCTGTCAAAATGTTTGCAGGTTAAACTTGACCTGACAATATGTTTGCAGGTTAAACTTGACCTGTCAAGAAGACCACAAGGTCGACCAGGATTTTGTTTAAAAATTTGTTTTGATGAGAGAATGCACAACACAGCCGATCACGGGGCGTTGAAGTATTTTTTAACCTCCCACCCCCCCCCACCCCCCACCCACTTATAAAAATGATCATCAATGATTCTGTGAAAATCGATGCACCGCTGCGGAAAATGGCATAAATGTGCTTTACATTGGAGGCACAGGAGGGAAGGGCAGGGAGGGAGAGGGGGGTAAAGGGAGGAGTGAGGTGGTGAGGTAAGAGGAGGGTGTAGTGGTGTTGGGGATGCTTTATATTGGGGGCGAGAAGTATGAAGGAGGGAGGTGGGGGAGGGGAGGGAGGTGGGGGAGGGGAGGGAGGTGGGGGGGGGAGCACTGGAGACGCAGGCAGCAATAATTGAATTGTTTTCAGTAACCCACCTCAGCTCTGTTTACTAATGGTTGGATCAGTCTGAGTCGAAACAAGATGGCGGGATAGCAGTTTCCGGTCAGATGGGATCATGGGATTGAGTTTAATGGGGGACGTCATGTTTGTTGTCAACTGTTTCAAACACGCTGGTCCTTGGTGGTGAAACTAATGGCAGAAGGTGATACACTGGGGGATGATGGCAGGAGGTGACACATTGAGGACATGATGGCAGGAGGTGACACATTAAGGACGAGATGGCAGGAGGTGACACATTGAGGACATGATAGCAGGAGGTGACACATTGAAGGCATGATGGCAGGAGGTGACACATTGAGGACATGATGGCAGGAGGTGACACATTGAGGACATGATGGCAGGAGGTGACACATTAAGGACGAGATGGCAGGAGGTGACACATTGAAGGCATGATGGCAGGAGGTGACACATTGAGGACATGATGGCAGGAGGTGACACATTAAGGACGAGATGGCAGGAGGTGACACATTGAGGACATGATGGCAGGAGGTGACACATTGAGGACATGATGGCAGGAGGTGACACATTGAAGGCATGATGGCAGGAGGTGACACATTGAGGACATGATGGCAGGAGGTGACACATTGATGACATGATGGCAGGAGGTGACACATTGAAGGCATGATGGCAGGAGGTGACACATTGAGGACATGATGGCAGGAGGTGACATATTGAGGACATGATGGCAGGAGGTGACACATTGAGGACATGATGGCAGGAGGTGACACATTGAGGACATGATGGCAGGAGGTGACACATTGAGGACATGATGGCAGGAGGTGACACATTGAGGACATGATGGCAGGAGATAACACATTGAGGACATGATGGCAGGAGGTGACACATTGAGGACATGATGGCAGGAGGTGACACATTGAAGGCATGATGGCAGGAGGTGACACATTGAGGACATGATGGCAGGAGGTGACACATTGAGGACATGATGGCAGGAGGTGACACATTGAGGACATGATGGCAGGAGGTGACACATTGAGGACATGATGGCAGGAGGTGACACTTTGGGGACATGATGGCAGGAGGTGACACATTGAGGACAAGATGGCAGGAGGTGACACATTGAGGACATGATGGCAGGAGGTGACACATTGATGACATGATGGCAGGAGGTGACACATTGAGGACATGATGGCAGGAGGTGACACATTGAGGACATGATGGCAGGAGGTGACACATTGAGGACATGATGGCAGGAGGTGACACATTGAGGACATGATGGCAGGAGGTGACACACTGAGGACATGATGGCAGGAGGTGACACATTGAGGACATGATGGCAGGAGGTGACACATTGAGGACATGATGGCAGGAGGTGACACATTGAGGACATGATGGCAGGAGGTGACACATTGAGGACATGATGGCAGGAGGTGACACATTGAGGACATGATGGCAGGAGGTGACACATTGAGGACATGATGGCAGGAGGTGACACATTGAGGACATGATGGCAGGAGGTGATACATTGGGGACATGATGGCAGGAGGTGACACATTGGGGCATGATGGCAGGAGGTGACACACTGAAGACATGATGGCAGGAGGTGACACATTGAGGACATGATGGCAGAAGGTGACACATTGGGGATATGATGGCAGGAGGTGACACTTTTGGGACATGATGGCAGGAGGTGACACATTGAAGACATGATGGCAGGAGATGACACATTGAGGACATGATGGCAGGAGGTGACACACTGAAGACTTAACAGCAGGGGCGGGGGGGGGGGGGGGGGCTTAAGGGGTGACAACGTATTAAAATGTTCAGATGTTTAAAACAGATTATGTGTTCGGTTGTAAGTAGCGGTAGCTTACCCGTGCTACATACTTTAAGTAATTCATCAATTCCACATGATTTAATATAAAGTTACTTAAGTAACTGATGAATATAATTTGTTTCCAATTACGTGAGGTAACCTCAGACAGTGTTTCTTCCAGACTTTTTTCTTGAAATTTTCGGGGGGGGGGGGGGGGGCGGTAAAAAATTTTCGGGGGGGAGCTATGCCTGGAAGAAACTCTGACCTCAGAGACTCCCGCCCACCTGTCATTGGGGGGTGACACAGTTGCAAGTGGTGACCCATTAAAGACCTGATTCGCCACACAGGTGTCACCAAACCTAGCCACGCCACCAACCATGTTTTATCTCTCGACAACATGCCAGTGCTCACCAGGAGGAGCCACCAAGACAGCGGTCACGTGTTGGCATCAAATATTCATGGCTGACCACGACCCTGGACTCGGGCTAAAAAAAATCAATCGGAATGTGAGACTCCCTGCATTGTCAGTCGTCATCAAACTACGTGTTCAATCGTCATCAAACTACGTGTTCAATCGTCATCAAACTACGTGTTCAATCGTCATCAAACTACGTGTTCAATCGTCATCAAACTACGTGTTCAATCGTCATCAAACTACGTGTTCAATCGTCATCAAACTACGTGTTCAATCGTCATCAAACTACGTGTTCAATCGTCATCAAACTACGTGTTCAATCGTCATCAAACTACGTGTTCAATCGTCATCACGTTTTCAATCGTCATCAAACTACGTTTTCAATCGTCATCAAACTACGCGTTCAATCGTCATCAAACTACGTGTTCAATCGTCATCGTCATCAAATTACGTGTTCAATTTGCTGGGGAAGCTTTTTATTGCGGCGACTGTTTGTAAATACACCGTGTCATTCTCAACTGTTTGTCACGTGTTAGTTTATTGCTAGTGTCATTCGAACCGCAGTCAACAGCGTGGGTGGTGGTGATGGGGGTGTGATGGTGTCGTGATCCAGTTATATAGGATCAGTAATATGGGACCAGTTATATGGGACTAGTAATATGGGACCAGTACTGCGCAGTGTTTCTTCCAGAATTTTTTCTCCGGGGGGGGGGGGGGGTGGGCACTTGAAATTTTCGGGGAGGGAGGTCTTTCTTCGGGGGGGGGGCGGACACTGTTAAAAGTATATATTTTCTATATAAATTATACAAATTTCATTTCGTTCGGGTGGGGGGGGGGGGGGTAAAAAATTTTCGGGGCCGAAGAGATGCCTGGAAGAAACTCTGGTACTGCGCTAGTATCAGAGAAAACACCATAACATTATCGACTGTGTGAAAATGCTGTTATAGGGATATTAATTTTTGTGTTTTATATCTCGTCATGCACAGGTGGTCAACTTTATTTTGTGTAAAAATGAAGGTCAACTTTATTCTATATTACAGCGATGGTCAACTTTATTCTACATCACAGCGATGGTCAACTTTATTCTACATCACAGCGATGGTCAACTTTATTCTACATCACAGCGATGGTCAACTTTATTCTACATCGCAGCGATGGCGACTTTATTCTACATCACAGCAAGGGTCAACTTTATTCTACATCACAGCGATGGTCAACTTTATTCTACATCACAGCGATGGTCAACTTTATTCTACATCACAGCGATGGTCAACTTTATTCTACATCACAGCGAGGGTCAACTTTATTCTACATCACAGCGATGGTCAACTTTATTCTACATCACAGCGATGGTCAACTTTATTCTACATCACAGCGATGGTCAACTTTATTCTACATCACAGCGATGGTCAACTTTATTCTACATCACAGCGAGGGTCAACTTTATTCTACATCACAGCGATGGTCAACTTTATTCTACATCACAGCGATGGTCAACTTTATTCTACATCACAGCGATGGTCAACTTTATTCTATATCAGAGCGATGGTCAACTTTATTCTACATCACAGCGAGGATCAACTTTATTCTACATCACAGCGATGGTCAACTTTATGTTAGATGTGACAGATTGCGAGACGAGCTGTACTACCACACACATCTAGGTCATGGGTCATAGGTCATGGGTCAGTGTTTTGTCTGGTGAGAACACAATAACAAATATAAAATAGCCTGCGTGTCGGCTACATGAAAACAATGACCAAGGCTACCTGTATGGCTACATGAAACAATGACCAAGGCTACCTGTATGGCTACATGAAACAATGACCAAGGCTACCTGTATGACTAGATGAAAACAATAACCACGGCTACCTATTTGGCTACATGAAAACAATGACCAAGGCTACCTGTATGGCTAGATGAAAACAATGACCAAGGCTACCTGTATGACTAGATGAAAACAATGACCAAGGCTACCTATTTGGCTACATGAAAACAATGACCAAGGCTACCTGTATGACTAGATGAAAACAATGACCTAGGCTACCTATTTGGCTACATGTAAACAATGACCAAGGCTACCTGTATGACTAGATGAAAACAATGACCAAGGCTACCTGTATGACTAGATGAAAACAATGACAAAGACTACCTGGTGGCTACATGAAAACAATGACCAAGGCTACCTGTGTGGCTACATGACTACAACACATCTGTACGTACCGGTCAGCTGCTCGTGACCCAGCTAAATATCGATCCCTAGAGCCTGGTGACGCCCCCCATTGAATGAAAGATCAGCCACAAATTTGGAGACGTCTAAGAGGTCCGGACACAAACTGGCCGGGTTTCACAGACTCAAGAATGTAAACAAATCCGCGCTCCACGCGAGGCCAGACAACAGCAGCACTCCCTGGGTCTGGAAACACAGCCATTGACAAGCGCGCGTGCTACACGACAGACATTGAGCATGTGACGACGACAGAGAGCCACTCACCCACACACACACACACACACAGACACGCGCGCGCGACGCTCACGTGCCCTTGATAGTGCGGAGAAAGGAAATTCTATTAAAAGTCGTTCGAGATGCCGCCAAGATCTAAGGTAATACTTCGTGAAAGAGGGGGGGGGGGGGGTAAGAGGGAGGTGATTTATCGGGTGATACACGTGAATGTTCAGCGGTGTGTCTCTAACGTTGTCTACATCTTTATTACACAGTTTTTTCTCTCTCCCACACATTTATGTACAACTCCACCGGTGTCCATTAACTGCACTGCCGGCTCCACCTATATCAGCTCCACTGTCAGATCCACTTCTGTCAGCCCACCTGTGTCTATGAAATAGTTCACGCTTCAAGTAGTTGACAGTTGGTGATCCCAAACTATGACGTTTGCCCAATATAACACCACACCCCCACACATAACATAACACATAACCTAACATCTTAAATCTAACTTAAAACCTCACCCCTAGTTATACACCATACCCATTACGCCTTATCCCTAACTATGCAACCCACCTGTAACTATACCCCCACACATAAGTAGGCCCCCACGCCTAACTATACCCCCACCCCTAACTATACATCCCACCCCTAACTACACCCCACCCCTAACTATACACCCCACCCCTAACTACACCCCACCCCTAACTACACCCCACCCCTAACTATACATCCCACCCCTAACTACACCCCACCCCTAACTACACCCCACCCCTAACTACACCCCACCCCTAACTACACCCCACCCCTAACTATACATCCCACCCCTAACTATACACCCCACCCCTAACTATACACCCCACCCCTAACTATACATCCCACCCCTAACTACACCCCACCCCTAACTACACCCCACCCCTAACTACACCCCACCCCTAACTATACATCCCACCCCTAACTATACACCCCACCCCTAACTATACACCCCACCCCTAACTATACATCCCACCCCTAACTACACCCCACCCCTAACTACACCCCACCCCTAACTATACATCCCACCCCTAACTATACACCCCACCCCTAACTATACACCCCACCCCTAACTATACACCCCACCCCTAACTATACACCCCACCCCTAACAATACACCCCACCCCTAACTATACATCCCACCCCTAACTATACACCCCACCCCTAACTATACATCCCACCCCTAACTACACCCCACCCCTAACTACACCCCACCCCTAACTATACATCCCACCCCTAACTATACACCCCACCCCTAACTATAGACCCCACCCCTAACTATACACCCCACCCCTAACTATACACCCCACCCCTAACTATACATCCCACCCCTAACTATACACCCCACCCCTAACTATACATCCCACCCCTAACTACACCCCACCCCTAACTACACCCCACCCCTAACTATACATCCCACCCCTAACTATACACCCCACCCCTAACTATACACCCCACCCCTAACTATACACCTCACCCCTAACTATACACCCCACCCCTAACTATACATCCCACCCCTAACTATACACCCCACCCCTAACTATACATCCCACCCCTAACTACACCCCACCCCTAACTACACACCACCCCTAACTATACATCCCACCCCTAACTATACACCCCACCCCTAACTATACACCCCACCCCTAACTATACACCCCACCCCTAACTATACACCCCACCCCTAACTATACACCCCACCCCTAACTATACACCCCACCTCTAACTATACACCCCACCCCTAACTATCACCCCACCCCTAACTACACCCCACCTCTAACTATACACCCCACCCCTAACTACACCCCACCCCTAACTACACCCCCCCTAACTACACCCCACCCCTAACTACACCCCACCCCTAACTATACACCCCACCCCTAACTATACACCCCACCCCTAACTATACACCCCACCCCTAACTATACACCCCACCCCTAACTATACACCCCTAACTATACACCCCACCCCTAACTATCACCCACCCCTAACTACACCCCACCCCTAACTACACCCCACCCCTAACTATACACCCCACCCCTAACTATACACCCCACCCCTAACTATACACCCCACCCCTAACTATACACCCCACCCCCAACTATACACCCCACCCCTTACTATACACCCACACCTCAGCTTATCTTGTTGGAGTGTTGGCGCCAAACTAGGAGGGGCGATGTCACACTTGAACTAACCATTCAAGGGCTCCTATTCGTTCAACGAGTTATCGATTATCGCCCTCTCCCAACTCTCCCCCCCCCCCCCCCCCACATCCCACCCCCGTTCAACCATAACACAATTTTATTAGTTTTCTACAATAGGGTTTCTCATTTCAGAATGTACTTGTTCTGACACCCGTCGCCTTTTGAGCTAACTCAATTAACAGGCAAAGGTTATGTGGATCTATTGGGTTCTATACTTGCAGAATTCAAATACAGCACAGTTATCAAAATAGGCTGCATATATGTTTATAAACATATATATATATATATATATATATATATATATATATATATATATATATATATATATATATATATATATAACATAACCCCCAGTGTGCATCTATAGCCGAAGAGGATTGTAGATTACAAAAGTCAATAACTACAACAGTATGTTGTCATTTTTTAAAAGATGCTAATGGGCAGCGAGAATTCGAACCTTCATCTGCCAACTATGGCAGTTGCCTAGCACTGTGCCATCACACATAAGCCTCTCAATGACAGTGTCATCGATCATGTCATCATGTCGCCGACAGTAAAAATCAAATCATTATAGCCATTGATTAAAAGATAATTAAACATGGATTCTCGTTTAATGTTTATTTGCTGATTAATGTTTTGGTGAACTATTTACAAAATATCTTTGTCATATTTTATCATCGGCTGTTTGCAAGAGTACAGAGATGATGTGGGCGGAGGTGTGTTGATCTAACTGCTGACCTTTTGGTGGTAGGTCATAGTTAGCTGATCATTGGCTACTGGTCATTGGTTTGTAGGTCTTTGGGTTTTAGGGCATTGACCTGTAGGTCACTAGATATTGATCTGTCGCTGATTGGTCTGTAGGTCATTTGTCTGTAGGTCATTTGTCTGTAGGTCATTTGTCTGTAGGTCATTTGTCTGTAGGTCATTTGTCTGTAGGTCACTAGTCGTTGATCTGTCGTTGATTGGTCTGTAGATCATTAGTCTGTAGGTCATTTGTCTGTAGGTCATTTGTCTGTAGGTCATTTGTCTGTAGGTCACTAGTCGTTGATCTGTCGTTGATTGGTCTGTAGATCATTAGTCTGTAGGTCATTTGTCTGTAGGTCATTTGTCTGTAGGTCATTTGTCTGTAGGTCACTAGTCGTTGATCTGTCGTTGATTGGTCTGTAGATCATTAGTCTGTAGGTCATTTGTCTGTAGGTCATTTGTCTGTAGGTCACTAGTCGTTGATCTGTCGTTGATTGGTCTGTAGATCATTAGTCTGTAGGTCATTTGTCTGTAGGTCATTTGTCTGTAGGTCATTTGTCTGTAGGTCACTAGTCGTTGATCTGTCGTTGATTGGTCTGTAGATCATTAGTCTGTAGGTCATTTGTCTGTAGGTCATTTGTCTGTAGGTCATTTGTCTGTAGGTCACTAGTCGTTGATCTGTCGTTGATTGGTCTGTAGAGCATTTGTCTGTAGGTCATTTGTCTGTAGGTCAATTGGTCTGTCACAACATGGCACACACACACACCCTCTCACACACAATCTCACATACACAGCCCCCCCCCCCTCTCTCTCTCTCTCTCTCTTCCTCCCTCTCCCTCTCTCCCTTTCTCTCTGTCTCTATCTCTGTCTCTCTCTCTCCCTCTCCCTCTCCCTCTCTCTCTATCTCTCTCCCTCTCTCCCTCTCTCCCTGTCTCTCTGTCTCTATCTGTCTCTCTCTCCCTCTCCCTCTCCCTCTCTCTCTCTCTCTCCCTCTCCCCCTCTCTCCCTTTCTCTCTGTCTCTGTCTGTGTGTGTCTCTCTCTCTCTCCCTCTCCATCTCTCTCTCTCTAACGAAAGTCAGCCGAGTTGATAAAAGTAAAACCCCCAAAGCTTTTATTTAAGGGCATACATTTCTCATAGCCTGCCGGCGTGAGCACAACTGAGTTAACAATGCGCACTGTCTCTATTCCATTGCATCAGTTGTGTTTTCCATACCCATGAATCAATATACACCAGATCTCCGTGGAATTGGTTGTTTATGTGGGGGACTAAAAGCTAATCAATTTTTCTTGTCAACTCGCTCGGTAGGTAGCTCTAAACAGCTACCTGATACAGTCATACAACATAGCCAGTGCTACTAGCTACAGTCATACAACATAGCCAGTGCTACTAGCTACAGTCATACAACACAGCCAGTGCTACTAGCTACAGTCATACAACACAGCCAGTGCTACTCGCTACAGCTACAGTCATACAACACAGCTAGTGCTACTGGCTACAGTCATACAACATAGCCAGTGCTACTAGCTACAGCTACAGTCATACAACACAGTCAGTGCTACTAGCTACAGCTACAGTCATACAACACAGCTAGTGCTACTAGCTACATGTAAACTATACAACACAGCCAATGAATGCTGCTAGCTACAGTCATACAACACAGTCAGTGCTACTAGCTACAGCTACAGTCATACAACATAGCCAGTGCTACTAGCTACAGTCATACAACACAGCCAGTGCTACTAGCTACAGCTACAGTCATACAACACAGTCAGTGCTACTAGCTACAGCTACAGTCATACAACACAGCTAGTGCTACTAGCTACATGTAAACTATACAACACAGCCAATGAATGCTGCTAGCTACAGTCATACAACACAGTCAGTGCTACTAGCTACAGCTACAGTCATACAACATAGCCAGTGCTACTAGCTACAGTCATACAACACAGCCAGTGCTACTAGCTACAGCTA